GGAGATTCTTTCAAAAAAATATCCTTCAGCTACAGGTTGGGAAGAAGAACAGTTTGTTCAATTGTTCATCATACAAGCAAATCAGTCATTAAAGTACTTATGAACGAATTGATGCCAGTTCCGGATGAGGTGAAGTGGAATGAAATAGCAACCGAATTTTGGGAAAGGTGGCAGTTTCTTAATTGTATCAGTGCAATGGATGGCAAACACGTGACAATACAAGCCCCAAAATTGTCGGGAAGTCTGTACTATAACTACAAAAAAAAACGTATTCCATTGTTATTCTAGCTCTAGTTGATCCATGTTACAATTTCATTTAGGTGGAGATGGGTAGCTACGGAAGAAATTTAGATGGAGGCATTTCGTCTAATTCCAATTTTGGTAAAAAACTATCCCGAAATATGCTCAATATTCCAGAGAAATAATGTCTTCCAGGGACAGACATTGAACTTCCAATGGTTATAGCAGCAGATGAGGTTTTTTCCTCTCACAACTTAAATCCTGAGACCATTTCCTGGAAAGAACTTGACTGGCGAGCAGAGAATTTTCAACTACCGATTGAGTAGGGCAAGAAAGATATCTAAAAATGAGTTTGGCGTTTTGGTGCAAAAATTTCGGATCTTTATGAGACCTCCCCATGGAAATTCATATAACATAACGTGGATTGCACTCGTAGCATGCATCTTGCCTAACTTCATTCGAAATAATGAAGGCAACACAGTTCCTAGTACTGGAAAAAGTATTATTTATTGGGGGGGGGGGGGGGGAGAAACTGGAAGAAAGAGTGAAGTTGATGATTGAGGTTAGGTTTTTGCCATATGGATTTGCCATGGTAGTTGAAGTTAAAAGATTATTAAATAAGGCTCTTTGTAGGGGCTGAAAACTTGTTGATGTAGTTTGAAATGGTCGGGGTGCTGTGGGGGAAGTGGGTTGGATTCATTTTTTTGTATTTTGTTTTCAAGGGTGGTAATTCGAGCAGCATGTCTCTCGACTACACAGGCCCGGTCAACGAGGGCTTTTAAGGACTTAGTGACGGTTCAGTGCGTATATGAATTGCTTTTTTGGGATTCTTGTAGGCGTTGTTGTTGATTAGAAATTTCTTTTTGAGTATGGACAAAGTCTTGGTTGAAAGAAGTTTGGATTTGGGCCAATTTACTACGGGTATCAGTATCGTTGTCATCGATTCAGAGACATAACTCATCGATTCGAGCATCTAACTCAACAAACTTCCGCATTACGTTATCTAACTGGGCACTACAACTGTTAGCCATATCTGTCATTCGCTGTTCTAATACTGTTAGCGAAAGAGGGAGAGTGAGGTATCTACGTCACCGTTAACGGACATGGTCGGGTCAAAATTAGTTGCGGGGAGGACTGGAGAAGGGTAATTTAAAGAGGGGTTATACCTTACAAGAGGTCGGGTATTACGTTGACCAGCGCTGTGCATGGGGACGTTTCAAATTATATTATACAAGGTATTTAATAACAACGGTTATTAAAATAATAATAAAAGATAAATTATACATGGAATATTCCAACAGGAATAGAGGGCACTATCCTTACAGGAGATAATGAAATATTTAATGTGAGTGTGTCGTGGTCCGGGGATGTCACGGCACGACGCACGGTAGACAGTAATGATGAAAATAAAAGAATAAAAAAAAATACAGCGGTAATGGCTGGTGGCCTTATATTATTTTATACGAACACCGATAATAATAATTAGTAGCGGTGTAATAAATGTACGAACGTACAGAGCACGCCGAACAATACCAAAAAGAAAAAAAAGAAACAAAAAATGAATATAATGACATTAGATTGAAAAAAATGTAACGATACGTCTGCGTATGTCCGTTCGTGCCCACAGTGTTCAAAGAACAACCCGAACGGACCGGTTGGATAATATTCCGTGCGGGCGTCGTCGCGACCGTTCGTGTTCCCAGTCCATTGATCGATGAGGTGACGGGGTGTCGCGGCGGCGTTGCGTGCCGCGGTCTGGTGGTTGATGAGAGAGACATAGGCATGGTCGGCGACAGACGTTTCGATAACGGCTGCCGCACGGGTCCGCGTCAACTGCTACTCCAAAACATAGTAGCAAATAACAAAAAGAGAATTGAATTAAGATAAAATAATAAATATTGTCCAAGTGGTACTAAATAAAATAAGAACAATTATTAGAGGCGTTGCAACCCCCCCAAAAAAAGGTAATTATATTGGTCCAAGTACCGCAATGATACTATACAATAAGCTTACTCCTCAGTTGAGAAGCAACACCAATAATAATAATGAAAAAATAAATAAATAATAAATATGATAATCAATTATGTGATAATATTCAATTGAATAACTAATAGTATGGAATTTATAGTATGGTTATTATTTTTTTTTTTTTTTTACCAATAAAAATAATATGATAATAATGATCAGAATAGGATATGAATATTGAACATGGATATAGATAGTATTTTTTTATTTTTTTTTATAGGAAAATAATATATACAATTTTTTTTTTATCTTTTGAATATAATTATAAAAAGAGGTAATAATGTTTGTAGGAGTATTGGGAGCTTTGCTTTACATGATTTTTTTTTTTAATTGGAGAATAATATTTTTGTGGATTGAAATGGATACGTTTTATTTGTCATGTGGTTGCGATTAGGGAAAAATCACAATATTTGTTGATTTTATAACTTGTATATTTTAATTTTGCCAGTTTAATGAATATTAATAATATTTTAAAGGTTTTGTAGTTTATTTATTTATAGAAAGAGAAAGAGAGAGAGAAAGTTATTAGTTACAAGAGGGATTTTGGACTTCGAGTCGAAATTCCGTCGACAGAAACAGTTAGCAAATAATGTAGTTAGGTGGACATGCAGTACTCATAAAACATGTGTTTTTTAAAAATTGACGAAAATGGCATGTGTAAAATAAGAAATTCAATATAATGAAAAGCCGTCGATGATCCTTCTGTTCGACCCTCAAAAGTTCTCCAGACTGAGTTGCATAAATCTGGTTCTCTTAACCTCATAATACAAGATGTTACATTGATAAGAAAAAACGTTGGATATACTAGACTTACCCATTTACTAAAACTACCGAAAACTTTTTCAGAATTTCATAATGCACTGAACGATATGACATTACAGACAAACGAGAATGAGACGTTTTTATTTCATAACGATGCCGATAATAATATTGTCTGTTTTTCAACCGATACAAATATAAAAAAATTGACCGAATGCTCAAAAGTTACGGCTGATGGAACATTTTACAGTTGCCCTTTTCTACATGTTTTTGGCATTCATGGGCTGGCTAATAATGTTTTTATACCGTTGATGTTCTTTTTGTTGCCAAATAAGCTACTAACATCTTATGAACGAGCTTTGTCCTTTCTTTTAGAAAAAATTAATTCACTTAATTTGAATTTTGCTCCCGATAGCATACGTATTGACTTTGATCCCGCGATTTAGTTAACTTATTATTAATAAAACACTAACCTAGCTTCATCACACATAATAGTAAAGAAACCAGTGGCTGATATTTCATTAAGAATGGTTTCCTTAATGGAACTGGCACAAATATCAACAAGTTCGTTTTGAATCCTCCAACTACTATAATTTGTATCTTTAGAGTACATATTTTCAAAATCTGGTACAGATTTAACATACAACGTGCATAACTCTTTAAAATATCCTAAAGCGCAAATTTTTTTAGTAACAATTTTATGTTTATACACATTAAATAAGATAGTAATATACTAATATGCATTTTTTTTTTTAACTGCTACGTAAATACGTTATATTAATGTATGTTACAATTAAAATGTTAATAGTATAATGTACAATATTAAATTTAAGTTGAACATAATTTCAAAATTATTTTTTGTCCAACACATTTTTTAAAATTTATAAAGTTTAATGTTAGAACTTTTAAGAAGGAATGATTTTTATCATTGGTGTTATTACTAGCTCAATTGAAATAACCAATGCCTTATGATAATGTTACAGGGAAGTTTAATATAATTGTTGCCGCCGTAACATAACGGCCGGACGTCGACCCGAGCGTATCACCGCGGTCGAACACACGACACACACACACATACACAAAACAATCGCTCGCATCAGCCGTTATTTTTAAGTTTATCTCTGTTTAATTTAATTTGTGTCTTGTGAGTTATATAATATGCTAATCGGGTATCAACGCGTTATCTGTGTCGCCGGGTCGTCGGTCGCGAAAATATTTAACACGGCCGCCGCAACTTTTGTCGTTTTTCGTACGTCATCGTGAATTATCCGTTGCATTGTTAACAATTTTTCTTTTTACAAATTTTTATAAGCACAAATTGCTTTTTTTTTTTTATTGGTATCTACTCCTTTTATAATTATTTTGTGGACGCTAATCGCCATAAATTTTGTATTAACAATAATTGTGTGTGCGCTAATCACCACTATTTTTTTTTATTATAATTGTAGATTTAAGTATAGTTTTTAGGTAGTTGCAGCTGGCCAGCCGTACACCGATAAATTGTGAGTTTTAAAATTATCATTTATTTATTTATTATTAATTATTAAAATTACTTATTTATTTACTGTGTGCCATAAGGGCTATTATTTAATATTAATTATTAATATTTGCTGTTGTGCCAAAAGGGCCACATTTATTGATTATTATTTTTATTTTATAATACACAGCAACAGTAGTTACCATCCTTGTATACCATTTATTTAATTTGTTTTAGTTCCTTTTATTTTTTATCTTAGAATTTAAGTTACACACACACAAGTATAAACTCTATTCCAAATAAGATCAGGCTACGGCGGCGACCAGATGTCGTCGGGCGGCGGTCAGGCCCCACCTATTTTACTCCCCACTACATCAACCACCTGTTCGACTGTAGCTCTACCGACGGCGGCGGTGTGTAACGTGCTGCAATATAACGCGACGACGCTTACATGCTTACCGGTGAATTACGCGCCAGTCCGTTTAAAACGATTTTTTTTTGTGATTATAATTTGTGTTTTACGTATTATATAATGGGAGATAATACAGAAATAATTACGGGTGATATCCCTGAACTCGAAGGTTGTATGCCTCTGCAGCCTGAAGAGGTAACTACTATTTCTCCAACAACGAAAAATAAAACTGGAAAAGTAAGTAATAATATTAACAGTTTTTACCCAAATAAAAACACATAACAATTTATATAATATTCAAATATTTAATTATTTGATATTTAAAATATTATTGCCTATATATTATTATTTATATGTTTTTTTTACAGTGTGTGTCCAGTAGTCAAAAAATAATGATTGTTAATATTTACAAGGATATCATTTCTAAAACACCAGGCATAAAATATTTGGATATTATTAACCGTATTAGAGAGTTAACTGGTTTGGGACGAGACACCGTAAAGAATACTATCAGTCAGTACAAAACCACAAAAACAGTATCTTCTCCCAACAGGAAAAGAGCAAAGGCTTCACTGTTTGACAAAATTGATGATCTTGACCGCACAGGATTACGTCGGACAATCCATTCTGTTTGGTTAAAGCGTGAACTACCAACCATCGACCGAATTTTATTTGATGTCAACGCGGATCCGTCGCTTCCAAATTTTAAAAGAACATCTTTGTATCGTGTCATCAAAAAAATTGGATTTTGTATTTGCAAAAAGAACAAGATGCAGTGTGCTGACCGAGAGGGAAGACCTTATTGTTTGGCGTCGCAAGTATTTATACGACATTCGAAAATACAGACAAGAAGGTCGAACTATATATTATCTGGACGAGACTTGGTTGAACGCCGGCGATTGTGTCGATCATGTTTGGAAGGATAATACGGTTCTCTCCAAACATGATGCATTTAACAAAGGCCTCACAACCGGTGCAAAAAACCCATCCGGTAAAGGGAAGCGACTCATTATACTACATATTGGGTCGGAGAATGGTTTTCTGCCAGGTGGCCTGCTGTGTTTCATTTCCAAAAAAAATACCGGAGATTATCATGACGAGATGAATGGGGATAACTTCAAACAGTGGTTCGAGAACATTCTCCCTTTACTTGACCCAAATTCCATTATCGTCATGGACAACGCGCCGTACCATTCGGTAGAATTGGAAAAATATCCAAATACCAGTTGGAAAAAAGCAGCTATATTTGAGTGGCTCAGTTCCAAGTATGTCGATCGCGAACGACCGTTGTCATCGTTATTGAAATCCGAACTTCTGGCGATATCAAACAAAATGCGACCTGATTCTAAATCGTATGTAATCGACAACTTGGCCAAGGATAACGGACATACCGTACTCCGATTACCACCGTACCATTGCGAATTCAATCCCATTGAATTGGCATGGGCGATGGTAAAAGGATACGTGAAGCAGAACAACACCACTTTCCAAATCGACGATGTTCGCCAACTAGTAAATACAGCGATTGAAAGGGTTACTCCTCAAAATTGGAAAAATTTTATAAAACACGTCATTGAAGAAGAGTGCAAAATATGGAAAGTGGACGATATCATGGACGATATGATAGATTCTTTGGAACCTTGTATTATGACGTTAACAGGAGAAACAACCTCATCAAATTCTTCGGAGTAACCAATTTATATTTTTCTATCATGTTTAAATTTTTTATGATTTTTATTTTTTTTATCATGATTTATGTTTTTAATCATTTTTTTTTTTATTATAATTAAGTGTAAATAATTAAATTATAGAAATTTGTTTTTACGTACCTACAACATTAGGTAATAAAAATTATAAATTGAGCAAATGAAAATCGATGTTGTACTGATAGCGTGTACTGACGTACGTATGTGATTATGTGGCGCGCGAGTGACGGTACGGAAAAATACATCGCGACGTACCGCTCCGCACTCCATCTGTTTCAGAGTATACAATGCAATTTAAGTTATTTGTTCAGGTCACTGGTTTACGATTGACTAATTACGTCGCTCTAGTTGTCGGGCCGCGGCGGCAAAGTTCGAGGTCCGTGCTCGTAGTGAAGCCACGCCCATGCGCACAACTTGGCCGCCGTAGCCTGGTCTTATTTGGAATAGAGTATACACACCTTACACACACCATCACACCACATAGTCGGACAGTGTTTGCGCGGTGATCCCAACCACTACTGTCCGGTCTATACACACGTATACACACATACACACAGTGTACGGCCGCGATCGTACGTAAAGGGCGGCGTACACGACAATTCAGCGTCCGGCGCGCGTAATATTATTTTATGCTCTCGGCGCAAACAATAATAATTATTTACCAACCTATCTCTCTCAGCCCAACGTCTCAAGATAACATACAATGTGCTACGTCGTTAAATAATTAATGTGGTACCGATCGTAGTGTCCTGCACAACGATCACTACACGTTTCACAACCCTGCGTGAAAACTCCAAATAGGAACTCGCAGGCGTCACAACCATGGGACGGATCTCTTTTCGCCTAAATATGACCTCCTCTTTTTTCCCACTTCTTCATTTCGATGAAATGAAAAAATAGTTTCCTCTTTTCACCCAAAAATAATTGCATTCTTTTCGCCCATGATTTCACGTTTTACATTTTGGAAACCACTGTCTCAAAATTAATAGTTTTTAAAAAATCATAATAATCAAATAAAAAAATAGAAAAATATATAATTATTAATTATAATTAACATTACATTGGTAATACCTATGACATATCTACATGATTTATGTAGAGATTTATTATTGATATATATTATATTTAGATACTTATATCTTTTTTTTACACAATAAAATAAATGATATAATAATTGATAATAGTGATTATTGGTTCGTTAATATAAGATATTTTAGGTGTTTGTCATTTATTTTTTTGACGTTGTTAAAAAAAAAGTTATTCGTGGATTTAATTTGTATCTACATCTTTTGTATAATTGAATGCCATTAATTTAATGAATTCATACCGACTTAACTCTTCTCTATTATACTTTTCAGTTGTTTCTTCGGTTTTTAATTGGCGTTCTCTTAATTGTTTGATTTTTGGGAAACTGTTGTAAGTGAATACTATTTAATTTAATATAAACATCAGTTTGGATTTCTTATACCACAGCCAACCACACATGAATTGGTGGAGTATTACTATATAAACTTTTGTTAAAATATGAGTGAAAGGACTCGCATGTATTTGATGTCCTGATCAACTCTGATGATTTAGCTGCCCAAAGCTTTGGCGGGAACATACTTTCATCGGATATATAGTTATCACTTAAATAATCACAGAACTTTTGTAGTTTTTCATTTTCAGGGCAGTCACTCATTAAATCTTCTATATAACAATCACCTACTTCTTCAGGATTTAAAAATAGTAAGCCAAATGTGTAGTGTATCCACTTACCGATATCTGAAGACTCGTCTTATTAGTGTGTAGCCAAACCAAATTTTTGCACATTTCTCCACCATAATTGGGTTAAATGAAACCTATATCCAATTATTTTCTTATTTGGTCAAACAATGTTTATTGCTTTATGTATCGCATATTCAAAATCAACCATACATTTTAACGGCGATAAATGTAATCCAAGGCTATTACATTTTCCGGTGATTTTTTTAAACACAAATTCATATGTATGTTCCGATTTATCAACTAATAGGCAAAAAAACTAATGGTACATAATGGCCATTTTTATATCCATGAATAGTGAATATTTATTCAAAAAATCTTGCAGAATATTTAAACGTGCCATCGACGTATACGTTTTCTACATTGATCAAGAAATGTAAATTTTTTCACAGGAAAATATTATAACATTTTTATTTTCATCGTTATTCAATACAAAATGTTCACTTCTTGTAGTGTTTATTTCAGTTGCGTTAACATATTGATGAACTTTATTTATATCAGTAGGGTTAGGAGGGAGGACTTTTGCACGAGATTTATACATATTTTTATTTTTTATTTTTTTTTATTTATTTTTTTTTATTAGAAATAGGCTTCAACATCGTAGGTTATTAGCCTAAAGTAGTTTAGTTACAAATGATAGAATAAATGAAAAAAGGAAAATTAATTAATTAGAGTAAATAACAAATTATAGGTATTGTAACTTAGAGACTAAGGAAAGTTTTTACAATAATAGAATTTGTTAATGTAATTGATTTTGGTTTGAAATTAGATAATATTGCTGGTGTTATTTTCATTGAGGGCTTCTTCATTGTTCGGTAGTATAGCGAGTTTGGTTCTTATGTTCCAGTATTTCATATAAACTTGGATGATATGGTGGACTGAAAGATCGGTGTGGTACTTGTCACAAATGGGTGGGAGATTTTTGCTAACGAGGAATGAATGGATTGCAAAGGTGTGTCCGATCCTATATCTGGTGATAGCAATTTCTTATCGTCTGGTGAGGTAGTGAGAGGAAACCCATTTTTTCGTATCTTTCTTAATTTTTTTAAGTTTATTGGTCGGTGGAATGGCATCCCAATAATTTTGCCACTTAGAGTATGTCTTGGATTTGAAGGTAAGGGATTTTGAAGAGCAAAAAGAGAACTGAGTAAGTTACTTAAAATTAAAATGTGATTAGAGGTGACTGTATTCGCTAATGTTATTGCTTCATAGATGGCTAGTGATTCAGCTGAGAATATACAGGTTTCAGGAGGGAGTTTGTTCATGAGTATGATATTGTCTTGAGTGATTGTAAAGCCAACGCCTTATACGAATTTAGATGCATCAGTATACATTTTTGAGAAGTGTGGAAATTTGTCTCATAATTTCATAGAAATTAGAAATGATAATATTTGGGTTTGTGTCATGTTTGTTTTGTAGCAGAAGCTCGGTATTAACTTTGATTTGCCAAAGCCAAGGGATATTAACTTTTTAATAATCATCGATTGTCAATTTATCGTACATCTAAATACTCAGAAAACTGTTAATCTACAAATAGTGCGGTGGGATACTCTACTGAGCGAATTCAATTATGATATAAAGCATCGCCTAGGAGTAAAAATTGCTCATATCGATGCACTCGGTAGAGCATCAGTTAATAGTCCTTGCGATACAGAGACCGAGCAATTGGATGAACGATATGGGGTGTTGATGACAATTACTGAAGAGGAGCAAGTAGCTGCGATGCAACTTACCGACACCAAACTAAGTAATATTGCAGAGATACCAAGTCGAGAAGAGGCGGAACGTTCGATAGCTGACAACGCCATAGTAAATGGATACATACTTAAAAGAGGGTTAATATTCAGAAGAGTAAAGGAGGGTGATGAAGAAAAAACATTTGTGAGCTGTGCCAGATAGCATGCGCAAATGCATAGTAGTGTGGTTCCATAATCTGGGAGGACACTTTTCTTTAGACCGAATAGCGATAAAAATCATGGAGAGATACTATTTTGGGGTTAAGGCGATATGTGAAGTACCATATACGGTGTTGCTCTTGGTGTATTCTAACCAAATTACCAAAAGGTAGACAACAGGGACGGTTTCATCCAATACTACCAGGGAAACGTCTTTTTGAAATAATAAATTTGGATCACATAGGCCCTTTCATCAGATCTACGCGTGGAAATAGTTATGTATTAGTGCTTACAAATAATCTGACTAAATTTGTTAAACTATTTCCAGTCAGAAGCTGCAATACTGAAGGTATAGTAAGTAGTCTGGAATAATTCATAACAGCCTACGGAATACCAAAACGGATCATAAGTGATCAAGGGACAGCTTTCACTTGAAGAGCGTTCGAGGAATTTTGCGTACAACATGGTATCAAGCACATATTAAATTCAGTATGACATCCTCAATCTAATGGACAAGTTAAGAAAGTGAAAATTACATTAGTACCAGTAATACAATCGAATATGGAAAGAGATTGTACTTGGAACAAACATATTGTGATAATGTAGAGTCAGTTTAATAACGCGTATAACAAAACTATTGGACACACACCGTTTCATGTGTTATTTGGGTATTTACCTAGTTTTAAGTATGGTTTACTACGACATGTACCATGACCGAGAGATGGGAAGCAGTGGATCAACTTCATGCCAGAGTATGAGAACGAATAATATTAGAACACCAGATTTGGAAAGAAAGGTATGACCCAAATCATAGTAAACCAGTGTTGTACGAAGTTAGAGAGATGGTATTTATCCGGAGGCCACCAGAAGTGACTAGTGAATCAACCAAATTACAATCCAAATACCGAGGCCCGTTAGTAATAATTGAGGTTTTACACCTCGGAATTTACCATTTAAAATGATGGCTTTGATAACATTTTATATTAATTTTTTAATGACTAATCGCGTGCCGTTGCACAACCGTGGTGGGTTCAAATTACGAAGTAAAATAACCGAAGACCCAACCTTCAGTTGTAAATTATGCGGTGTTATACGGTGGCTTGCGTAGTAAATCCAACGAGTTTAAAAACTATATGTTGGATAATTTACAGCTTTAGTAGTACCGCAAACTGTATCAATAGATTTGAATGACACCAAGTCTCCTGGTAACAAATGTTGTTGTTGGCTTGTGGGCCTATTACGCTTATATTAAATTTAATAATTTGTTATTAGACTAAAGGAGTCAATATAGGCAACCCAATATGAGCCACCCGTAGCTGATATAGGC